GTTCCAGTGCAATGGACACAAAAGCTCCTCATTAAACATACTACTAGCCATGTTTATTCTCACTGCCAAAATGAATTATTGGGCAGAGGCTATCATGAAAATTAAACATCATTTTATTTATTTATGGCTAAAAGGTGCTATCATATAATCCTTTTTGGATCTGTAACTCATAGGTCCCTGCTGCCATTTGGGGATTTTTGAGTTGGTAATAGGTAGTTTTAGTGGTGACTAAGTGCTTACGAGACTCTCATTTAGTCCAGTCTTTCAAGGTTTTCCATATGTCTTTGATTCCTCTTAGTTTAGAGAGACTTAAGAGTGCTTATAACTCTCACATCCTTTCCCTTAGTTATCAAAAATGCCTTGATAATTATCTTCAAGAGATCTAGCACTATGCCTTTTAAATAATATCAGTGGCTGTAATTCTTATGGTCCCTGTAAGGTCCCTTTACACTACCAAAGCAGGATGGAACCTAGTAGGTACATACATGCTTTTGAAATTTCTATCTGCTTTTTTGATATTTAAATACCCTTACAAATCTGGCTCATACTGAAGATGGAAAACAGGGCCCTAGGAGCTTGTGCATAAGTGTCATAAGGTTTGTAGTGCAAGTTCATTTGTCAGGTGAAGCCTACTTCTCCAGGTGAAGAGAGTGTGCAACTGAGAACTCAACCTACTCTTGAATATAATAGCAACCTGAGAATTTCTGAGGGACAGAGTATATGGAAAGGGGTAGATAATAACTTCCCCAGTCTTTCAGATAGAAGGCAGGCCTGACAGACAGAGATAGTCTTCAATGAAGGGAAACTGCTGACCAAGTGCCTGCTGGGTGAAAAAGCTCTTATGATGGAGTGGAAAGACTTTTAAGCCAAGAGAGTTATATGGTGGCTGAAATGACTACCTGAGCCTGGAGAAGGGGCTGGAGGGGTTTGAGTGTCATTGCATTAAAATAAACCATACCCACAGAAAAGCAATATTGTGCAAAAGATGGAAGGGGAAAAGAATTTGTCAGTGCCAGACTCCAAACCAGGCTAGATACACCCTGTTGCAGAGGGTGTTCTATGACAGAGGTGGTCAGCCTACAGCTTGATGCCACAAGTGGTACCAGTAGCCTTCTAGTGTAGTACATGGCAGATCAGGAAGGTGGCAGGCAGGACACTGGCAGATACAGCAGGGAACAGAAAGCAGAGCAGCAGACTGGCAGGGAGCATAGAGTAGGAAACAAAAAGCAGAGCAGCAAATAGGTGGTCTGAGTGGCATTCAGGGAAGGTTTGGGGCTTTATTTGTGACACGCCTCCCAAAAGGTCTGGCCCCACTGTTCTCTGAAGTTCACTATCAGCATATTGTTGTATTACCTGTGTTTAACTGGGTGTCTGACGCTTACAAAAATAGTCACTGCATAGTTCTTGACTTCCTCACATCCAATCGGCTCCTCTTGCCACAAAGAGTTGGCTTCAGTCATAGTACTTGTTCCTGAAATCACAGTGTAACTAATGCCTGTAACTTGACGAAAGAAATGTAAATTGCCAAACTAAGTCTCCAGAAATATTTAAACAAAATTCTTGCCATGCATTTTTAAAACCTCTAATCCATTTCAGAGAAGTTGGTTATATGTGAAAGATATATTCCTTCTCCTTCCAAAATACAACATGGTTGTTGATGCTACGACAATAAACACAGGATGGTGCAGCAGAGTGGACAGAGCATACAATCCAAACAAAAATCTTCCTGAAAAGATCACAGATATTCACAAAAACATTGATATGAACTGGAAGACATGTATTTGCCGTGGTAAGGGCATCAAAGGACAAAAATAGTTCTCTGGTAAAACCAGTGAAATACAGTATAGGGAGGTGTTATATCTCCACAGCAAGGCACAGCTTTCCATCAGCCAGGAAGTCAAAGAACTGCTCCTTTAAGGAAATGTCACAAACATCTGCCCCTCATGGGCAGGCAGCAGCAATTAATAGAACTTCAATGCATCATAGTTCAAAATATGTCACCTTTTCCATAACAATTTGCTAACTGGGGCCAGAATATAATTTGTTCAGTGCTACCATACCTCTATCTTAACCTGAAACCTAGTCAGCTGTTTCTAATTGTATTTTAGATTATTATTTTAACAAAGACAAAACCATGCTCCAAAAATCTACATTTAAAAAAAGTGGTAAACTTTCCCTATCAGGGTATAATAAAGAATTATATGTCAAAAGGATGAAGAATAATCTGAATCATAGTTATAAATATATGAGAGGGTAAAAAAATTAATTGGGGTCTTTGGGGAAACACCAATGAGCCAAGTGATGCAATAAGGGGATACACGTCTCTCATCTTATGTCTCAGTGGAGGTAAGACTAAACTTAAATGACCAGGTTGGATGGAACAAAGGAAACAGCACTTGCAATGGGACAATGGAAAACTTAAACAAACACAAGTACCAGTACAGGAAAGCATAAACCTAGTCTCACTGAAGTCAATGAGATTAGTTAATACTTAAATCCTTTCCTAAGTTGGGATACTTCAGCAAGTGGGATCCCAGTCAGGGACCAACAAGACAGGAGCAGGATGAAGAATAGCACTGAAATGGAGAGAAAGCTGTCACTTCAAAAGAATATTAAAATATTCATTTGAGAGACTAGGAAATATGCTCCCACATACTCTGCTAGTTTGATGGCTCTAATGGGCTAAGCTTGATGGGCTCAGTTTTAGCACATAAACCCAAACTTTGACCAGGTGTGCAGCACAGAATAGAGAAAAAAATCAGAAATGTTATACAAAGTAAAATACACTTTCTTAGGCCAAATCAAACAAGCAATACCATTTTCCACACAGCTCCTAGAACATACGACCACAACCCGCAGCCTCACAGCCCTCGACATAAATCTCAAAGCTGGGAACAATGCAAGCCCAGCCATGATTATGCAGGATGAAAGCAACTTCTGGGGGGAAAAAATCATTTCCCCTCCTGCTACCTTTCATCAGCAGGAGCCCTTCTAGGCTGAGAGAAAGACCTGGCTAGCTAATATATTATACCTTACCTGGCCCCAAAAGTACACTCAGAATTAGCAATGCTTTGAGCCAAGGGGGCAGACAGTGCTCTCTTAAGTTTTGGGTAGTGTCTACAGAATCAAAACTTGCATATAATAACAATACTGCTTGTAGACCTTACAGGCTTTTTATGTTTAGTGGTGGGGGTTTTTTTGTTTGCTTGTTTGTTTTTAAGCTGCTTTCTAAATGGGACCTTTATACAGAGTTATCTTAGGGTCTTTTTCACAGCATCTGATGACATGAACTGTGGCTCACAAAAACTTATGCATTTCTGATGAAGTTAGTCTATAAGGTGCATCTCTACCTTGCCTTCTTCTGCCTGCAACAATAGCTGTCATCTGAATGGGTAACAACAGAAGCCTGAAAAGGTTCACTTAAATGTCAGCTCTTGCTGATCACTCTAATAGAAATATCCAGTAAACCACTTGTCCAGAACCTCTGGTGAAGGAGCAGGAAAGGGGTCAATGGCCCACATTAATTGAGCGTAGAAAGGTATGCAACTATAAGCAGTGGAGCCATTTCAGGTGGTCCCTTCTGTCCTTGATTGGTCAGTGCCCACACCAGCCCTTCAGCTGAGTTGGAGCTCAAGGAAGAAACAGGAGCAACTGAAGAAAATCATTAGGCTTCCTATCCATTGTTCAGAGAGATGTAAGGGTCTGCTTTTTTACCGCAGTTTTTCTTTGTCCTTGTCAGTGAACAGCTGCCCATCATATTGAATAAGTCAAGAAATAAACTGCTAACTGAAAAAAAATTCTGCATGTGGAAAATGCTATGAAACCAGACAGGGAATGATAAATTCCCTATTGCAGGGATAGAACTTATATGACATAGGAACATTTAACATTCTACAGATGAGGTTTCATTCTTGCCACAGTTTTAAAGATTTTAGTTTAATATATCTGGACCCCTACTGGATTCATCCCAATTGGAGTCTATAAGACTTCCTCTATAGAATTTCCTCTCATTTGCATTGTTTTATTTATCATTAAATCCAGTTTTGGTTCCACTACTCCAGGGGTTCTCTTGGCAAACATCAAAGACCACTTAAGCACTGCATCCAGCTGCTATGATTGCATGTGGCCACAGACACTAAAAAGGTCATATAAAGCCACTGCTGGAATCTGAGAGTGTGAAGGGTAGAAAGGAGAAACCCAACAGAGTTTCATATAAATGGCAACATGCTTGCTATAGGAAAATGAAGCAAAGGAAAAAAACTAGCCCAAAAGGCTGGTCTTCCAGCTCATCTTAAAGAGTGTCTCTTTTCTCTGCCCTTCCCTATCACTCCTACTACAACAAAAAGCTGTGCCTGGAGTGGGAGGTTCAGTGAAACAGAACAAACTGAACCAAAGGCTTGAAATTGTCACCTACAGTAAGAGGCACGTTGGAAATGTGATGGCTAGGATCTGAATTCAATAGTGATATAACTTGTTAAAAATATCTGCTTAAAAGAGACACTGGGAGCATTTGCACATGCTATTATCATGCAGCGATAAATTCCAGCATATATCACACCAGAGTTTATTGCTCCCAGGAGCCATGTTTACATGTGTGCCTGGAGCTGCAGCACACTGAGCTGGGTTGGAGCACCCCTGGCTGGCAAGGGGCCCAGGGCTGCTCTGACTGGGCTCAATGTGCTGTGGAGGGGCAGGCTATAGCCCAAGAATGCTCCAGTGTGGAGCTAGCTGGCAGGTAGTGCCTGCACTTAAGCGCTCTCGTGCCCCAGCCAGCCGTGTCAGTGTCTATACGTGTGCTGCAGTGGAGTAAAAAACTCCACAGCAGGAGAGTACTTGTATTTACAAGTACTAACCCTGCTGCCAAGTTAATTAGTTTCCTTCAGCCCAATAGGGCTGCACCTGTGGATGCGAGACATACTGCAGAGCTAATTTGCCTACTCTGCAGTAAACATCTCATGTAAATGCGCCCACTGTCAAATAAATTAGACTCAACATTTGATTTACCTTAACAAAACAGTATTAATCTCATTGTGAAGTTCCTTCATATATAAGCCTATTTAAAAAGATCCACTGTTACCACCAACTGCTGGAAAATAATTATTTACAGGAGTCCTACACAAAAAATTATTCTCTGCCTACTTCCACAATTCCAAGTAACTAACACTGTTCCCAAAGTCCCACCAACAAAGAAAAACAAGGAAGCTCTGTTAATTTCAAGCTTCATTACAAATCCAAAATAAAACCCAGGAATAAAAATCATCATTTACAAAACGGAAAAGGAAAACAAAATCAATAGAGAAGGAAGTTTTATTTTAAGCTTCAAAGAAAGTATTGTAAACAATGGAGAGCTTAGAAAAGTATGTACAACAAGTATGGTATTTGACAGTGTCTTTTTAAAAGATGGTTATGTGCACTAGAAAGTTCTTGTGGCATTTGTTTGATAAAGGGTTATTTACAAAGAAATATACAATAGGGGCATCAGAAGAGGACTTTATTTAATAAGAATATTACACAAATTAAAAACAGACCCTAAAGTTTGCAGAACTTCAGTATAGTTGTGCATCTTATTATATTTTAATGGAACAAAACTTAATTTATTTTTTCTAAAGGCAGTATAACAACTGTAGATATCCAAAAACAACCCAACAAGAGGCTTAACCCTGCTTTCACTGATGTCAAGAAGGTAAGTTATGCCATTGAAATTAATGGGAGCGCTTCTACAGGAGATGTTATATTGCCCAAATCTGCAATCTGGGGCATAAGTCAGAAGTTAACAACATTTCTGGGTCCATGATCCTAGCTCCAGGTCTTTGACTCTACTAGTCAAGCTGTGATCACTCTTCCGGTATATGCCTGACTTCCATTAAATTTTCACGGGGGAGTCATAACCTCAAGCTCTTGTGCTGTAACCCCTGTTTTGGGAACTGCTGCACTGTTGACAGGAAAGAGAAGATCCTTCATTTTTCACACACATTAGTCTGCTGGCAAGGTTAACTGAAGTCTTGGATGTGCAAGAAATAGAATGCAGGATCAAGCTCTTTATATACACTCCCATCTTCTTGTCCATGGCAAGAAGATGGGTTCTTCATACAAGCCTTTGATGAATAAATGATTTAATAACTACATTAGGTGACTAACTGGGCTAGAATATATCTTAGGTCAGGTCAACACTTTAGAAACTTTTGCAGACAAAACATAAGTGATGCTTAGGGGTATGATTGTTTTGCAACATTTCTATACCAGCATAAACCCTACTTTACACAGTTATACCAGTTTCCAAAGGTTATTGCCACTACAGTTTACTTCACTCAGAGAACTAATATCAACCATACTATCAACATCATGTTTTGGCTGCATGGAAGCTTGAAAGGCAGGTTTGGTATACCTTACACTGGCTCACTTTTTCTTTTATAAACAAGGTCTCATGTTCAAATCCAAGGACTTTTTTCTAGGAAGCCAGGCTAGCCTGCATCGTTACTCTTCAAATGAGACTAGGCAAAGCACTGCAGGGAACAATCCTGTACTAGCCCATGAGAATGGATGGGTAACTAGATAGGTCCTGTGATTCATCTATTGGAAGATGGCTAACACCATGGAAAACATGTTTCGAACTCTTCTGTCCTCACTCAAGTTCCATACAACATATTTCCTCCCCTTGAGTTGCACCAGTTTTGTTTTGTTTTGGGTTTTTTGGGCATACTTTAAATGCATTTCTGCATGCTTTTCATTCTCCAGTAGTTATTACATTAGAGCTCAGTTATTCTGGGTCTACGCCCCTCTTATTAGTTCAAATGGGAAGTTCCATTGCCAGAGCGCTTATAGATTAGAAGCAGCTCAGAATCAACTGTGGATTTACCAAAAGAAAAAGCAGTACTATGATCAACTGATTTGTTTTCCTATCTTTTAAATGTTTTTCAACAACAGCAATCCCCAGGGCTGAAAAAGCCAAAGCTTGTTTTACTTGATAGAAGAGACACAACTATCTGAATGGAAGAAAACCAAATTTTCCTTTGAGCCTGGATACAAAAACTGATCACAAGAATCCAGCCTTTGGGCCTATTCTTTGCTTCCCCAACAGTGTTGTTCAAATTTGTGCCTAATACAGTACAACAAGGCAAATTTTAAGCATCTAGCAGGGAAACATTACCAAGAATTTAAAGAGAAAGTAAACCAGAACAATCTCCACTTACCACATCCAATTTGCAAAAAATAAAAATACCCAGCACATGTATGAATGGCTTCTTTAAAGTAAGAGAGAGCAGAGTTGATCTTTATTTTCATAATTTAAAAAATGTTTTTTCCTTAAAGTAAATACTCAGTCTTTATTTTACATTAAGTGCTTTTTTTTAAAAATGTCACGTCTTCACAAAATTGCTTTTAAATTTTGAAGTAAAATGTATTTTAAACAAAAATACTGTGCAACTGCAGCACTTATTTTCTCTCTTAAATATCGAAATAAATAAAATAGTTAAGTCTTTTTTTCAGTTTGTTTGTTTTTCAGTCATTTCTAGCGTAGATCAGTTCCAGTTTGACCTGGGGTTACACAATCTTAAAGGAAAGTGAAATCAAGAATTAAAAAAAAAAAGAAAAAAAAAAGATTTTCTTTGTATTGCACAGGCCTAGGGAGTTCCCAAGACTTCTCTGAGCAGGTGCCAGCAGGCCTTCTACAGTCCAGGCTCCTGTGCCAGATGAAACACAGGTATGGAGGGTGTCCAGCAAGGAGAGGAGATGTTTCAAAGCATCCTGGCTTCTCTTAGCCTTCTTTGGAAATGGCTTGATTGAAGGATGTTGGAGTCCATGAGGGCAGGATCAGCTGCAGAAGGAAAGGCAATACAAGATAAAACTAAAAAAAACCTAAACACATAAAAAAGAAATTCTTCAAAAAGAGCAAGACATTGTTCCAATACAGTTTCCACTACATTCCAAATTTTGAAAAAATAGCTAGACAAAACAGTTACCACTAAATGTGGGTGCTCTCAATGGATACACCAAAAAGATAAATGGCAAGTGAAAGAGTCATACCCCCAAAAAATCTTCAGCTAAGTGAAGCTTTTTTTCTATTACATTGTCCCTTGTTATTCAACTCCTATACTTGCTTTTTCCATATTAGTGACAACTTTTGGCTTGTGAAACCCTGAGCTGTTTCTGTTGTTATTAGTATTCATTTATATAGATCCACATATGTATGTGGCACTTCACAAAAGGTAGGAATACCTGTTTCCTACTCTGGGAAGTTATATGAGGCCATCCAAATTTTAGAAGTCTCACACACACATGGAAATTCTGAAAGCAAGTGAAAAACAGAACATTTACTGCATTCCAAAAAGCAGGGTCAAAACGCAACTTTACAGTTCAACTAAATAAGATATATCTGAAGGGAGCATTCCAGCCATTAATCCATCTCCCCTGGGACTAATTTTCACAGCCTTTAGAGCAGAAACAATTTGTTACTCCAACAATCCATCACTAAAATTTTTCTTCCCCCAAAATATGAAGCCCATCCATTTTCCAGCCCCGTATTCACTCCTGAACTAGTGAATGGGTCCAAGGTCTAAAATCTCAGGAAACACTCTTTTTTGAGGTCTGTAGAATTGTACTTGTATCACAGGCAGAGGGATATGATAAAAACAGTGCCAGAGGTTTTTCCCTCCTAAACATATGACAAACAAAACGTATGATGGGAGGGTGCATTATAAATATTTAATGGGCAAAAATTTGGCCTGGCTTCATTACTCATCTTAAATAATTACCAATAAAACCACTGCACCAACACTATTATGAATGCATGTGTGCTGTATTTTATTTATATATGTACGCATAATTACAAAACATATATCAAGAGAAAATTTCAGGCAGAACAAAAAAATAGGTGTTTCAGGTGGAAACATCACCTTATATTACAGTAAAGCATATTTCATAGTTTTCATAGACATTAGGGACTGGAAGGGACCTCAAAAGATCATCAGGTCCAGCCCCCTCTCCTTTCCCTACCATAGACAGGAAGTCAGCTAGGATCTAGTGACCCCAGCAAGAAATAAATCCAGCTGTTTTTTGAAGGAATACACAGCAGGTGCTGGCACCACCTCCAGGGGGAGTTTGTTCCAGACCCTGGACACTCGCACCGTAAAGAACTTTTTTCTAATATCCAGTCTAATTCGGCCTTCCTGGAGTTTATGGCCGTTAGACCTTAGGGAGCTGTGGTGAACAGGCGTTCTCCCAGGTCCTGATGTACCCCTCTTATGAAGTTGTAGGCTGCCACCAAGTCCCCCCTGAGCCTTCTCTTCTCTGACCTGAAGAGTCCCAGGTCCCTCAGCCTCTCGTACGGCCCTCCCTCCAAGCCTTGGATCATATAAGTGGCTCTCCTCTGGACTCTCTCAAGCTTCTCCACATCCTTCCTGAAGTGGGGGGCCCAATACAGTACACCAGGGCCAAGTAAAGCAGGAGGATGACTTCTCTGGTTTTGCTTGAGATGCATCAGTGGATGCATGCCAGAGTTTGGTTAGCATCACATTGGTGGCTCATATTCATCTTGTGGTCAGCCAAGACCCCAAATCCCTTTCAGTCGTGGTGCTAGCAAGCAGACAGATGCTGAAGTTCATATTTAAACAAAGGCCTCAAGGGAGTCAACAAGACACTTGCTTGAGGTGTCAACTCAGTAAAACCAAATGCCAGTAAAGTACAACTAGACTACAGAATTTGGATCAGGATCAATATTTTAAACACTCCAAAGTAGGGGGTAGTTGGATGAGCAATTTTCTTTATGGGCCATCTGTAATTGTCATTGACATATTTCTGTGAGTCGGAGTTTAATAGCAGGGAGGAGACTGCATTTAGAACTAATGGTGCCACAAAACAGGTTGTATCCAGCCACTATGTGGCTGCAGCTTTAATTTGCTCTAAACATCAGCAGGCAGTGATCTCAGTCTCTTATCTTTGACCAAGAACCCAAATTGAAGGCTGTAGAATGGCAAATTTGAACTCAAAATGAGTAACTACTGTAAAAACTGAAGAGAACATTGTGATGTAGTGCTAACAAGTTAAGTTTCTTCAACTGAAAACCACTGGCTCTTTAAGCTAGCTAGCCTACTTGAATGAGATTTCATTTCAATAGCAGAATTAACCAAGAAAGCCTCATCCTGTTGAAGCCAATGACAAAACTCTCAACCTCTGTGGCAGACGAACAGGCCTCCCCAACCATGACTTCACTGCACATGCACAAGTAAAAAGCTTCTTTCCAAACTCCATTCGATATAGAAGAGATTAAAACACTCTAACTCATAAAATCAGGAAAGAAATGCAGGGGAGGAAAATATAACTGCATTTAAGAATTGCCATTTACTAAGTCAGACCATAGGTCCATCTTGCTCAGTATCCAGTGTCTCTCAGTGGCAGAGAGTAGATGCTGAAAGGTAGAGCAAGCTGGGTATGACCCAGGTTTCTTTCACTGTTCCTCTCACTTACAACCTCTGGCATTAAAGGTGTAGGAAGTTCTAATTCAGAGGCTGCATTCCTAACTCCCATGCTCAATAGCTACTGATGCCCCTTTCCTTCAAGAATCTGTCCAATCCCTTTTTGAAACTGGCAAACTGTCAGCTACCATAACATGTGGTGGCAATGAGTTCCACATCCCTCTTCTGTCACATTCCTTTATACACTTCATACTACATAGGCCCGTCTACATGTGATGCTACAGTGCTGTAGCAACACACTACGGGGATGTAGCATAGGCAGGCACAAACCTTGATGCCAACACTATGTCACCGTAGTGAACTACCTCACTATAGTATGTCACTACAGCAACATAGCTACTAAAAATAACTGTACTAAATGATGGCGCAGTAACAACTGTGTCATGGGGGGCATGTGTAGACGTGTCCCATGTTTATTTTCTGGCCATTATATCACATAGTCCTGCATTACTTTCACCCTTCTTATAATTTACTCTGTAAAAATGAGTATGTTTTAGGTGTTAACCTGTCACATTCCAGTAAGAGTCCATGCTCATGGCTGATAAACAGCCCTTCTAGGTAAAACCCATGAGTGGGAGCATGTCAAGAAAGGGGCACACTCCCCCTGGACCTCCTTCTCACTAAGCAGGTGTCCAAGTGGTAATTCACTCTCTCAAAGTCCCTCAGCCTCTCCTCATACGGTAAGGAATGGATGGGAGATACTGGGCATGTCTACACAGGCATTAAATCAGTACCTCCACTGTGAGGTACTAGGATAATGTGCATTAGCCTGTCTTAATGCACATTAACTAAAGAGCACAGTTTTTAAGTGACACTTAATGTGCCTTAACAAATTAGCACAGGGTATTTTTAAATGCGTTCTGGGACGTGATGCAGGGCACTCTAATTAGCAATCTGCACTAATTTAAAGCACCTACTTGGCACATGTATCAGCATCCCCACACTGAAAAAATGGCAGCAAGGTGCTTTGAACTAAAGTTCATTGAGAATGTTTTATTTCAAAGTGCCCTGTTGCCATTTTTTCAGTGCAGAGACGCTGATACACATGACGCAGAAGGCTGCTGGAGCGCATCAATTTCTGTCCTCCAGCAGACTTGATTAATTGAGTCTGATCCAATGCGCTGGATTTCTAGCGCACCGAAGCAGGCACCATGCACATCTGTAGGAGCCCACAGATTTTTAGTGACATTTTAATGCACATTAAAATAGGCTAATGTGCATTAAAGCACGCGTGTAGATGCACCCACTGAGAACTACTAAGATCATTAAAAATACATACAGAAGACTAAATGTAGGACCTTAGAAATAACCCACATTGTATTTTAGGACAGTCTTATTTTGATGTATGTTGTGTGCAAGAGCATAAACCTGCTAGAGGCCACATGGGAAGACTTTTTATAACATTTTTCTGGTGAGGAGGAAACTTTTGAAGGTAGGTTAGGTAAGCTAGGACTGACTAGTAGGGAGAGTGGTGGGTCCTGTAAGACGACCTCTACTTCTGAAACTCAGGACAACATGTTTAGCTGAATTGCAAGAAGACATTTTGATGACGGCACTTAAGGCACAGTAACAAATTTCCCTCTGCTTTAAAAGATTACACTGTATTTTTCAGTTATGACCTGTGTTTCAAATCAGGGCCTTCCTGTGTGCCTTCTTGGATTGGCTGGGGATTACTTCTCTTTGGACAAACAGTCTCTTTGGAGACTGTACAGCTCTCCCCTATCCACCCAGAAGTATGGGCAGGAGCTGTACCAGCTCCTCCTCTTTCCCCTTACCATGCCTCCCCCCCACCAGATATTCTCTGGTTCCAGACTCCATATATGCTACAATTTTCCTTTTCCCTTTCCTAGGGGCACACTATTTGGCTCCCCTGTGGGCCTGCTTACACCTTCATTTCTGACTTACCTGGCTGAACTTCTTTCCCTATTGGTAGTCTCCATCCCTAGCATTCCCTCAACTTCCATGTACGTATTTAACTTCTGGATCAATGATCAATTTACGGCTATACTCCGAAAATAGGTTTCACAATGCACTGTTCTCTCCAAGTTTCCTCTCTGTGTTCACAATTTCTTTCATTCCACCTTAGTCCTTCTGTTACATTCAGTCTCTATCAATATGATTCCATTGCTGATCCCAGTCACCCTCTCCCCACCCATACCTCCATCTGTTGACTGCTCTGTTCTCTGTCCATTGACTTCCTGGTCAGAGGCTTCAACTCCACTTTCAGACTGTCCTATTAGACCAAGAGCCATAGATCTCTCCCTCCCTTCATTCTCTCACTCATGAGCATATCTGAAAAAGTCTTGTGACTATATTGCCCTCTTCCCCAGTAAATTCAGCTTTT